GTGCCCGGGGGAGAGCCAGGGACACGGGGAGACAAAGAATCCCAAGCAGCCTCCGTACTGTCAGCGCAGAGCCTGATGTGGGGCTGGAACTCATGAACCATGAGATCATGACCTGAGCCAAAGTCAAGAGTCCGTACGCTTAAACGACTGAGCCACCCGGACACCCCTAGAATCCTTATTCTTATTCTCACTTCCTCCCCCAACCCAGCACTGGCATCTCATCAGAGGACCTAACATTTATTGTAAGAACACAGGCCAGAACCTTCTTACCCTCTCTCCGTCCCTCCCTCCCTCCTCCCCTCTTTTCTTATTTCCATCCTTCCTTTTTCTTCTTCTTCTTTTTTTTTAATGTTTTTTTTATTTAAGAGAGAGAGAGAAACAGCGTGAGCAGGGGAGAGTCAGAGAGAGGGAGATACAGAATCTGAAGCAGGCTCCCGGCTCTGATCTAGCTGTGAGCACAGAGCCCGACATGGGGCTCGAACCCACGAACCGTGAGGTCATGACCTGAGCCGAAGTCGGACACTTAACCAACTGAACCACCCAGGCGCCCCGGGGATGGGCAGGTTAAACCTGAGAAGCATTGAGGAGGGAGCGGCAGCAGCACATGGTGGAGGCCGTGAAGGGGGGAAGGGTCCTAGGTGGGCCTCGGGATTTCCACTTGGACACAGTGGTGGAGGGATGTGCCATCAGCTGAGCTCGATGGGCACACGGGCTGAGGGGGGACCTGATTGCCGCAGCTTCAACAGCACAGTGGATTGAAACCCATTAGACGAGTTTATATCCATGCGTTCAAAATGGTATTTATAAGTTTACTGCATCACCTTTTGAGGAGCAGAGGGAACCAATTCAAACACATATATAGCAGAGAAGGAGAAGTGTCTCCTTATAAAAGTATTGCAACTAATAAAGGGGAACAAAATGATAGAATGCTACCAGTTTGAGATCCCTCTATGAATTAATGGATACAGGCGTTGAGCGTCAACTACTATCAGAAAGGAGTAGGGGCACCTGGGTGGCTCAGTCGGTTAAACCTCTGACTCTTGGTTTCCGCTCAAGTCGTGATCTCAGTTTGTGGCTTCCAGCCCTGCATTGGGCTCCATGCTGAGAGTGCAGAGTCTGCTTAGGATTCTCTCTCTCTGCCCCTCCCCCGCTTGCTCTCTATAAATAAATAAACTTAAAATAATTTTTTTTTAAAAAAGTGCAAAACTCAGCCAGTGTGCCTCCTGGGCAAAGAGCACACCGGCTTCCATCCTCTGCCAGAAGGGCGGACCCAGCACGCTCAAGCTCTGGCCCTAGCTGTTGATCTGTAAGAGACATGGGGGTGAGCAGGGGAATGTGCCGGGAACAGCACCCTAGTGTGCAGTCACCAAAACACAGGCTGAGAAACTCCACCGATCAATAGCCTGGGCTCCTCAGCAGAAACTGGAAAGAGATGGGGAGGAAATCTGTGGGTTAAAAGAGCTGAAAAGACATTTACCGTTTTTGTTAAGTGGGCAAGAGTGAACAGTGTCTGGGAATGCATGTGCGTTAAAGCCACAAAGAACACAGGGAGAGTGGTCATGGCCATGGCCATGGTCATGGGGGGTGGGGGGGTGGGCAATGCCATGACCAGGATCGAGGAGGGGTTCTGGACGGCCGATGTGGTTTGTCAACTTGGGGTGAGCCACAGCGCCCAGATATCTGGTCAAATGTGATTCTGGATGCCTGTCACCAAGGAGTTCTTTGGATGGAATGATTAACAGAGAAATTGGTAAGACTTTGAGCGAAGCAGATCCTCCTCCTTACTGTGGGTGGGTCCTGTCCAATCAGCAGAAGGCCTGCATGGAGCAAAGTCTGACCTCCCAGGAGCGAGAAGGAATTCTACCCGCAGACAGCTTCTGTACCTGCTCCGTGACTCCTCCCTGGGTCTCCAGTCTGAAAACTTTGGACTTAACTAAGCCTCCAGTCATGTGAGTCAATTCTTTAAGATAATCTCTCCAAATATATATATATATACACTTATGTGCTACTGATTCTGACACCCTTGGCTAATACAGCTGGTAAAGTTCAATTTCTGGACTTTGGTGAAACTTACAAGGATACTCACCTTATAATTCGCTAACCAGCATATTTGTTTTGAATGGTTTCCTATGTTTTTATAACGAAAAGTTAAAAAATAAAAAGCCTAATTTACATATATTTATGTTAATAAAGGGGGAATCTTGATGAGTGCCCAACTGTTATTTGGGATTTATGGGGAGGAAAAGAGATGGCCACATTTTGCTCTAAATATTTTTGTGTTGTGTGACTCTTCTCCAGAACATGTCTACATTTTGGATATAATTACAAAAAAAACCAAAAAGGCTTATCTTAGTTGTGACTCACAAAGTTCAACCTCGTTAGAAATCTAACAGAAGATGACAGTAGGAGGGACAGAGAGCCCATTTCTGCTGGGGGCCTGTGGAACCACAGGAGGAGAAAAAAAGAAACCAAAGCACCGTGAGTTATGAAATTGCCATTTATTTGAGAAACAAAACACAGCTGTTCTTAACCCTTAGAACCATGAATGTGGGAGTTTCTGTATTTATTAAGTAGATAAGGCATATTTTCACTCTACAGAAGACAAATGGAGAGAAGTGAAATCACGATCCATGAAAATAGAGGAACATAGCATTTTACCACCTGTATCTTGAGACCTTTTTAAAGTACTCCTTTTAAAAATTCACCTAGTCAGTGCTCCTTTTTCTTTGATCAGCCGGCCCTCAGGTTCACCCCTCATGGACCATTAGTGACGGCACACACAGTATGCTTCTTACACTTGTTACCTAAAACCCTAGGATTCCCCCAAATCTGTAGGCGGTAAGAGTTCTTTATCCTGAAGTCCTTTGGCTGGAGGACAGCCTCGCTGTGAAAAGGTAATCTGTGCTGATGAAAAGTGGACCCATTAGAAACAAAATTTATCAACTGGAATTTGTCAGGGACATAACCCTAACGGCCAGTGTCCCAGCTTCCAATCTACAACTCCAAACTTAAAGGCATCAATCAGGGGTGCCTGGGTGGCTCAGTCAGTTAAGCGTCGACTTTGATTCAGGTCATGATCTCATGACTCATGGGTTTGAGCCCCACAGCAGGCTCTGTGCTGACAGCTCGGAGCCTGGAGCCTGCTCCAGATTCTGTGTCTCCCTCTCTCTCTCTCTCTGACCCTCCCCTACTCATACGGTCTCTCGAAACTGAATGTTAAAAAAAAAATTTTTAAAGCATCAATCACTGCTAAATTAAGACAGGTTTCGCTTCATAAAGACAGGTGGTTGTGAGTATCAGCGTTTAGTTAGTGTTTCTTGTTTGCTTTCTCTCCAGCTAGCTAGCTAAACAGCATCTGGCTATATGGCTGGTTTTTAAAAGCAGTATCACTGAAATGTACTAAGCAAACTGCATAATTCCACTGAATGTGTACAGTTGTGTGGCTTTTCTGTATTTTCAGAGTTGTGCGAGTATCCCCACAATCCGTTATGCAACATTTTCAGTCACTGCTAAAAAGAACCTGTGTGGCGATGTGCTTCAGCTCCTTCCCCGTTTCCTGCTCTCCCCACTGCCTGGCGCCTTTCACCCACTTTCTGGTTCTATAGACTTGCTTATTCTGGACACTGGATACAAATGGAATCGTGTAACACATGGTCTTTGGTGACTGATAACTTGGCTTAATGTCCCCACATGTATCAGAGCTTCGTTGTCTTACTGCTCTGTGATACTCAGCTGCGTGGATTTGGTTAGTGTTACTTAAGTTTCTTCAGCAAACCTGGCGTTGAGTAGCTCCCAGTGTGGGGCACTGGGCCGAGGAAACGAGTAAGTCGGGCAGTCTCTGCCCTCCAGGAGCTGAGACACCCCCTCTCTGGCCGCACCCTCTCCCCGGTAAGGGGCAGACCTTGACAGGTGCTATAAGAGATACAAATCAACACTGGGGCACCTGGATGGCTCAGTTGGTTAAGCGTCTGACTTTGGCTCAGGTCATGATCTCACGGTTTGTGGGTTCGAGCCCCACATCGGGCTCTGTGAGGACACCTAGCTCAGAGCCTGGAGACTGCTTCGGATTCTGTCTCCCTCTCTCTCTGACCCTCCCCTGCTCACTCTGTCTCTCTCTCTCAGAAATAAACAAAAAAACATTTAAAAAAATTTTTAAAAGAAAAAAAGAGAGATACAAGTCAACACAGAAAGGGGAGAGGACTTTCGATGGGGGGGTCGGGGAGGGGCAGGAGGAAGTAGAAGAAGGTTCAAGGGAGAAGTGGCCCTTCAGATATGCCTGAGAACCTTCCGCAGGCAGGGAAAGGCACCCTGGGGCAAGAGTCGCAAAGGCACAGGAGGCGGAGAAATCCGAGGACTGCAGAGCGTTGGGAAGGGGTGAGGGGAGCTGAGCCCCAGAGCATAAACTAACCAAGTCAGGGGCCTGAAACTACTACTCCGATTCCATTATAAATCTTTATTTTTTTAAGATTTGCCCATTATTGATAAATAAGATACAAAAGCAATCAAAAGTCATGATATTTCCTAAAAATAGTTTTCCATTTGGGGTGCACATCCCTCTTGGGTAAAATCATCCTGAAGACTTCAGAGGTTCTGGGTTTGGACAGCAGAGAGCAGAGAACTCTCACCGGCTGCCGAGGCCCCAGTGAACTTCCTGCTCCTTCCAGCCTGAGCAAAAACCTCCCAGAAGCAATTACACCTTTCTCGGCACAGAGCTTTCCCTGCGCCAGGCCTAGAGGGGGGGTCCGGGAATGGCAGGGATCCCCAGGGGGACCCGAGACCACCGGGGGCTCGCCTCCCTCTTGCGCCACCTCTTCTGCCTCGGATTAGCACGCGCTCTGAGGGGCAGCGTTCACGCGTAGAAACCCATCAAGGCGGCAGGGTTTCAGTAGTAATGAAGGCACACTTTGTCCATGGACAGTTTTATTCTGCAAGAAACAGGAAGAGGTTGGTGGGCCACGTCAAGCCTTAAGAAAATTAACACAAACATAATCCACCCCGGCCCAGGTCTTCCTTTATGGCAGACCCACCCCACAATTATCTCCCGAAGGATGACTCTATTTTAAATTCCTCTACCATGAGAGGGAGGTGCTGGCAGCAGTAAAACTTGCAGAGAAGGTTTAGCAATGCTGCTCCCTTCTGCTTTCAGAATGACGCTGACCCCACCATGCCCCGGGCTGGCTCACCTGTCAATTGGATAAGGTTTTTCACAAAGGTTGACCAGCACATACAGATGTCTCAAAGCGTACTCGTACTAGAGGAAAACACACCAAAAAAGACATCGTCAAACACCATCATCACCCACACAATCATCTCCTAACCTGGGAAGATCCCACTTTTGTGGTTATGGGGATAAAGCACCCTTGATCTGTGCTTCTTGAGCTTTTATGGGTCATGGATCCCCGCCCTCCCCACATTTTGGTAATCTGGAGAGAGATTCACGGGCTCCCTCCTGTGAAAAATGCACCCTGCCTGAGGGCTGGAGAGCCTGCTAGAGCATTCTCGGTGCCGGGCCAGGCCTCCTGAACCGAGAGTCCACGTGGCCATGCGCCCTTCTGTTACCTAGGACCTCCCCCCACCCCCACCCACCTGGCTTTTGGTTCTGGGAACCTCATTTGGGGAGGGACACACTGATGAGAGACAGATGGGGAGTGGATGTCAAACTGGATCTCCCGCATGTCAGTTAAGACTGACTTGATCAGGAGGTTTATCTTGAAAAAACTTCAGGGGAATCTGAGCTCTCTCAGGGGGAAGAAGGAAAAGACTCACTTTGCGTGATTCCAGGGTACAAAGGAGTAACACCATCAGGAGACCATGTGTTTATTTAATAAGCGGGACATTTTCCATTATTTAATAGGTAAGAAAAGTACTTTCCTTACAAAGGTAAATAAATGAAAAAAAATAAAATCAAGAGCGAGAGCTTCCAAATAATGGAGAGCTACATCAGAGCACCCAGGACCCTGTGTCTGGAAGCATTCAAGCATGACCAGGGGTGCCCATCACGGCCCGACAGAGCTTTCTACGAAGATGGAAACGTTCTACAAAATTCTCCAGTTCGGTAGCCACTGGCTGCTACTCAACACCTGAAATGTGGCCACTGCTGCTGAGACATTAAGCTTTATAGGTTGTTGCATTTGAATTAATTTAATTCATTTAAATTCAAACGTGAGTAGCCACACGGGGCTAGAAACTACCATCCTGAACGAAGAGCACAGCTCTAAGCAGAAGTCGGGAGATGTTTTCTGTAGAGGGCCGGCCTGGAACTATTTCAGGCTTGTGGGCCGTATGAACGACTCGATTCTGTGGCAGCGTGAAGGCGGCCATAGGAACGATGCCACAAAGTAGAACAGGGCTGTGTTCCAACATAACTATTTATAAGAACGGGCTGCGGCAGGATCTGGTCAGCTCGCTGACCCCCTTCCGTGGGAGGATCCCGGCATCCCATAGCACTGACCACAGGCACCTTCGAGCCTGACGTTCTACAATCCGCAGAAACTCGCTACCTACCTTCTCCAGGGGCCAGCGCCTGACTCCTGGGGAGGGGTCAGAACACACCCGAAAGGGAGAAAGCGTACGTACATGGCCACTGTTTGGCAGGGACGGCAGAAGTGTACAGAGAAGTACACTTCAGTCAAATATAAATGGGAGTTGAGTCATGACCGGTAAACTCCTACCCACAGAACAACTGAGTGTGTCTGGGGCCAGGATTTATGGTCAGTGAATCTGGCTGACCTTCCTCCTCTTGTCCCCATCACAGGCCTCTGAATGAGTCCCATTGTTTCCTTGGCCTGAATGGAACCTTCTACAACACAATGCATCCCATGTGATTTCTAGGGGGCAACCTTAATTTGGCTTTAGGGGCTGAAGTTACAGGGAAGGCGGACGCGGGGAAGGCCCCCAGGGGTCCGGGCTTACCGTGGGTGAGTGCCAGTTGAAGCAGCGTGTGCGGAAGTGTGACACGGCTGCCTGGTAGCAGTCGTGCGCCGTGAGCTCGGCTCTCTCGGACAGCAGCCCCTCCGCCTCAGCATCGGACCTCGCAAGCAAGGAGACCATCTTTTGCACTGACTTCTCGATGACATGCCTAGCCTGCAAACATACACTTCTTTTCAAAATGTACCTAATGCAGTCCCTCTTGGAACCCTGGATCGGCCCCTTTAAAGCCTTCTCTTCATGCAACTTCTAACCCAGGATGTCAAAACAGATGCCGATGGAGGCATTCGGCAGAAGGAGGTTGTATGTGTGGAGGCTTCTGTAACAGCTAGAAACCTCTAGAAATACCCTGCCCTCCCAGGGTCTTCTGCACGACGGAAACATTTAAATCTAAATACCTGAAAAGCCGGGCATGTCCCGCTCTGAGAAAAGGAGAGGGGCGTAGAAATTGTGGGGGGCATCGTTTCCTTCCCATATGATGAATAAAAAAACACCTTCACACAAAATGAGTTTATTACTGTCATTTCTAAATCAGTTAATACTTCTGAAATCTCAGTGTTCAGGGGCGCCTGGATGGCTCAGTCAGCTGAGCATCCTACTTTGGCTCAGGTCATGATCTCAAGGTCTGGGAGTTCGAGCCCCACAGCAGGCTTGGTGCTGCCAGCTCAGAGCCTGGAGCCTGCTTTGGCTTCTGGGTCTGCCTCTCTCTCTGGCCCTCCCCTGCTCAAACTCTTGTCTTTCTCTGTCTCTCAAAAATAAATAAACATTAAGAAAAATTTAAGTCTCAGTGTTCAAGTAGCAAAATAAAAATGTCTTCTAAGCAACCAGGTATGAAACGGAAACACCCACACGCCACAACTTCTTGGGAAGGATACAGGAAAGAGAAAGAGGTCAAGGTCAGTTAACTACTGAAGAATGAAGACGAAGACAGCCACTGCTCTGCTCACTCACTTCTCTGTTACACGGAGCACAGACTAGTCTCCTTTCCCACATGCTCCCACGTGCCAGGAGGAGTGGCCCAGAATGCCGTCACCTGGCCGCGACAATGCTGGACAACCGTCCGGAGGCAGAGACCACGTGCACACAGGCTGCCCGGTGAGGCTGGGAGTAGGATCTGGAAATAGTTCCTTTAAGCACTACTTACGTCCAGGTGCCTGTGGATCTTCTCCACGAGTTTTCTGGACTCCTGTAGATCGTTGGTGCTCATCAGCTTCCTTTTCATGATGGTGAGGGGCACCTCAGGGCTTGGGGTGAGGTCAAGGTCTTTGACCGGAGGCAGGGAGATGGGAGAACTGGCTCTGTGTTTCATGCCCTGAAACTGCATCACCTTCATGGCAGAGATAGACTGAGGAGAGAGGGAGAGAGCCAGTTTGAGTGGAAAACGTGGATGTGGGTCCCACCTCTCCGTGGGAGGCTCCCAGTTCATACCACGTGGCTTCAGGACCACCGAACAGCCACAGCCGCAGCCAGAAAACATGTGCTTGGCCCTCAGCAGTGAGCAACACCACACCGCTGAGCACCTGAAATCCACCAACAATAAACTTCAAAATTAACCAGCATCCATGGGATGCGTGCACAGCTCAGTCAGTTAAGCGTCTGACTTCGGCTCAGGTGATGATCTCATGGTTCATGGGTTCGAGCCCTGTGTTGGGCTCTGTGCTGACGGCTCGGGAGCCTGGAGCCTCTTTCAGATCCTATGTCTTCCTCTCTCTCTGCCCCTTCCCCGCTCGTATGCGTGCGCGCACGCACTCTCTCTCTCAAAACTAAACATTAAAAAAAAAAAAGAAACCCCCTCTCCCCCGGGGATCCCCCCACATGGCCATGATGGTGTCACCTCTGGCCCTGCCTTATCCAAGTCACCTCCCCACTTGCCTTCTCTCTGCTCCCGGCTCCGGTACCCCCTTAGGAGCCCGACCAGGCCCGTGGCATCCTGACGGCCTGTCTGGTGGCCTGTGCCTGTCTGCTGGTTCCCAGGCCCCAGTGCATACTGTGCCAGGGATGCGTTGAAGGCAGCTGGATCGACCAGCTCACAAGTCTTCTAGAAGGCCAATGCTTGCATCGAAGGAACAGATCTCAGCCGGGGAGCGCTCAGATGGTGGCAGGCTGCTTGGGGAGTGGTGGTTGGTCACGTGGAGAGGTGCACAGACCACCTCCTCTGCACATGCCAAGGGCTGGCCCCCCATGGCGGCACACAGGCCCAAGCCTTCAGCAGCACCTGCTGCCACCTCTCTAGAGAGCCCTGGTAATCTTACCCATTTAACCACCTAGGTTCTTTCGGGGGTGGGGGGGGTTGGCTGGCGTGGAAGTCCCTAAATTCTAGCCAAAGGGTAAAAGTAACAAGTGCAATGTGCAGGACGTGGGGTCCTAGAAGGCAGAAGCTTTCGATCCAGTGACCTCCTCATGTGTGCTAGCCCTGTTCAGTGGTCTGGGTACATGACCTTCTTTAATTGTACACCAAGGCTCTGACCCAGGAGGAAACAGAGATTCGGAGAAGTTAAGGAGCTCGCCCCAAATCTCACAACTTTGCGAGTTTGAGCCTGGTAAGGTCCGACTCCAGAGCCCAGGCCCGGGACCCAGGATGCAGTTGGCTGTGAGAGGCAGGGCCATCCCTGCCTCGGCCATTTCTCCCGTGGGTCCTCATCTCTCATCGCCAAGAGATCAACGTGCCAGGCAAGTCGCCCTGAGGCTCAGGAGGCTGCCCTTCTCACCTTGTTTCCATACTGCATCACGTGGCTGGTGTTGGTGTGCGATTTCACCAGCTGGTACTGCTTGTGGAGGGTTTCTTTGGTCAAATCCTCCTGCAAAGATGAAAACGCTGAAGTCCTGACAGAGCGGATGGCTAAGCCCCAGCCGGCCGGCCGGACCTCGGAGCACTCACCACGTCCGAGTCCTCCATCCAGTTGACGCTATACCAGTCCCCCAGGTACGTGGACCTCTTCTCGTCATAGTAACAGGCATAGGACGACTCAGTGGGGTTGGCGGCCGTGGTCGCATACACTAGTAGGAATTAAAGATAGCTTTTCATCACGCGCTTCTCTCTGCAGTGGCTCCCACCTGAAGCTTGAGCCTCTCCCTCCTTCCCAGTGCTATCAGAGCACGCTGCCTGAGACACAATCGTACCCAGCCCTGCTCATTTGGTGTGGCAGCTGCCTAAAATTAAATGGGGAAGACAGAGAAGCTGGCTGATGGGCACGGTCTGCAGTAATACGCGGCCCGCGTGCTTGTTACAATGTTAAGCGATTCTAGAATCATCTGAAAGATTTTAATAGCTGTGGAAACTTGAAGAACTGTACCTAACTTCATTTCTGGAGGAAGTTAATATTTACCAAGCAAACGAACACTTTGAGCACACGCCATAGCTACCATTTACTACCTAGCTACTATGGGCTCGGAGCCGTGCAGGCATATGGTATCACTTAAAATGCAACTGTCCCAACAGACAGGCGGCATGTTTATCCCCATTTCACAGATGGGGGTAACTGAGGGCCAAGGAGGGTAAGTCAACTGCCAAAGATCAGACAGCCAACAAGCCATGCATCACAAAGAACCAGAGCTGGTCCAAAGGCTATGGGATCTTGGACTTTAGTAGCTTTACTAGAACGTGGAAGAGCACCATGAATTCACACCAGATTCTTTATTGTTCATTCTTTATTCCTGCACATGCACAGGTAAACCCCTCACCCCCACTTCTGTGCACCGGGCTTCCCTGGGCCTCTGCTCATTCACACCAGCGGTTCTCCACATCAGCGGAAACAGAGAATGACCGTCCACACCACCGAACGACATCCCCCCAACCACCCAGCTCAGAGGCCGGCGCGATCACCACCTACCATTGATGTCGGCAGGCAGGTGGCGCATCATGGACCCAGACTCACAGGCTTCGATGTAGAACACCATCTGTGAGGCGAACGAGACACGTGACCTCACACCCTGGCCAGCCACACACCTCTCACAAAGGTGGGCTCTGCTTGCATTCCTGCCCCATTCTTAAGGGTCTTTTACTCTTGCTTCTGGGAGAGATCTCTGCTGTGAGACACTGCTGCCGGAGGCTATAGAAGCTGCTGTCGTCTACTTATTGCTAACAGACTAAAACAATCCATTGGTTGGAGTGATGCAGAGCGAATGGTGCTATGGATAATGTGAAGGAAAACCATTTCACTGCCCAACACAGGGAGACAGTGTGGCCCTCTTTCCATGTCAATCACGTGCACATGCCTGCGCTGCTCAGTTTCTGTCAAGGGAGCTACAGGGGCAGGCGAGGGCCATCATGAAAATAAGACGATGGCGTTTTCCTCCACCAGCTGCTCCCAGCTGAGGTCAGTGCTAGGAGCAGTGGTCTTTGAACTGTGGTCCCTGGACCATCAGTATCCGTGTCAACTCAGAAAGGCCAAGCTCACGAGCCTCTCCCCAGGCCTCTGAGGCAGACTCTGGAGGTGGGGTCCACACTGTGCTCTAATGCAGTGGATTCCCTCCGGGAATCCAGAGGGCCAGACCCGATCCCAAGGATACCCTCCAGATAACAGCCATTTGGGGCTGGGGGCAGTCAGGGGGCAGGAGGCTCTGTGTCCACCGCCTTCCTCATACTCCTCCCCACAGGCCGCCCCAAGTGCTGACGTTACCTTCTGGTACCTTTTGTGTTTGTACATGTATCGGATGGTGTTATTCAGGTCCTTTACGTGAAGCTGAAACGTAAGAATACTGACATTTAGACCAACATCTCCAGAGAAACCCCCTAATAAAGTCCTAATGATGGTTCATAATTGTTATTTACCAGTCCTTAGAAAGAATCCTGGTGAACAGCATTATCCCAAAGTGGCATCTCACGTGTTTATTCAAATACTTAAAAAGGAGAAGAGAGGAGGGCGCCTGGGTGGCTCAGTCGGTTAAGCGTCCGACTTCAGCTCAGGTCATGATCTCACGGTTCGTGAGTTCAAACCTCATGTCGGGCTCTGTGCTGACAGCTCAGAGCCTGCAGCCTGCTTTGGATTCTATGTCTTCCTCTCTCTCTCCCCCTCCCCACCTCATGCTGTCTGTCTGTCTGTCTGTCTCTCTCTCTCTCAAAAATAAGCAATAAAAGAAAAAAAAGTTAAAAAGGGGACCACAATGTTATTTTTCCTCCAATACTGTCTAGAACATTCAGACTGTGTTCCATTACTGAATCTACCACAGTGCACCCAGGTCTGGAGACCTTCTACTAAGGCTCGGAATTCAAAGACAAATGTAGGCAAAACTTGCTGGATAGATTCCCAGCTGCTAACGTGTCCCCCACATTCACGCACCACACACAGAAACCAACCCTGGTAGGATGTGAGAAATCCACATCCCAGCCTTCATGTCAAGGCCAAGGTTTTGTTCACCGGCCTCCTACTCTGTCTTTACAATGTTAAGAAAAACTCACGTCATCATTAGGAAACACCAGTATTCCGGTAGCTCCGTGATCTGTGAAGTAAACAAACACATGATCCCGGGGGCCGCTGCCGAGAGAGCAGAACAGACAAGGTCAAAGTTAACCCATTCCTAGTTCCACTTCCATTTCTCTGAAAAGTAACTCCATCCAACAGTAAGAAGATGCTCAAGGACTACAGCCTGCTGTTGGAGGTGATCCTAAACCCCAAGGCACGTCCTACAGCCTCAGAGCTGTGAGGTGTAGGGAGGAGACATCTGCTGAGTGGCTTGGCTCATGGACCAGGTGTGACTCAAACACTGAGGTCCCTGGGGTGCCCGGGTGGCTCAGTCAGTTGAGTGTCTGACGACTTTGGCTCAGGTCATGATCTCGCAGTTCACCAGTTCAAGCCCCACATCAGGCTCTGTGCTGACAGCTCAGAGCCTGGAGCCTGCTTTGGATTCTGTGTCTCCCTCTATCTCTCTGCCCCTCCCTCACTCATATTCAGTCTCTCTCTCTCTCAAAAATAAAGAAACTTTTTTAAAAAAATATTTTTTTTCGAACATTGAGGTCCTTTAGCAATCAGGCCTCACGCCAGAGGCCGTACTCTCCAAGCAGATAGCCCTGAAACGAGGAAGGAGGCCAGGACACATAGCTGAACAGTCCTTCAGCTCGGACTTCGTTTCTTCCGGGCCCCTGAGCCTGCACGCGGTCTGCCCACTGTGCGCCCTGCCCACCTGCCAGTGCAAGTGCTTGTGCTCACTGCTCTCCTCTAGGAGGAGAGGACCAGCACCATTTGCCAAGGACCTGAGACAGTCTGGGGGCATGTGTTACCGAAGTCCCTGACTTTACTTAAAGTGCTACATAAAGAGATGCTAACAAGAGCTCTGGCACTCAGAGCCGCCAGCAAGCAGCGGGGTGGTTTTCCCCCATACGGAGGTGAGCGCAGTGGATACGCATGTGCGCCTCTCTGCCCTGGGCTCACCTCGAACACAGCACAGAACTGGAAGGCCGGACCTGTTCCTGCCTGTCTCAGTGCGTTCCGCTGGCAGTGACGCACACCAGCACAGGGATCCCCAGACAACAAAAAGCAGTGGCTTTAAGTGACAGGGAACGTTGCATTCATGATCACGAAGGACCCCGGCTCCTTCAGGCCAGAAATGGGCCCCTCAATGAAGCCATCAGTTCTGCGCAGCCCATCTTAAGTCTGGACAAAGCTCCCGCTCTGTGACTTCTCATGAGTAAACAGGACAGGAGCAAAGAACAACTATTTGGGGGGCCAAGTCATTAGGAAAGTGCGGGAGCCATAAAACAGACATTACCTCTTCAAGACCTTCCCAGATCCTTTGCCCTTCACTGCCTCTTCATCACCTCTTAACACAGCAAGGAAAACTTCTGGGGTCACATCCTACAAAGAATTAGAAGTCAAGATCAGATGCAGCTGTCATTCCCAGTGGCTGAGTCTGCACCAGACTCGAACCAGCGGTCCACACATCTCCAAGGCTCACTGGTTAAGAGCAAACACTCTGGAACTAAGTTAGACCCAAAGCAAGGCCAGGTTTTCTGAGGTCTGCGCACGACCTCTTCTCAAATATCATCTTGCCTTTGGCTGATGGCAACTCGGCAAGCCTGCCGTTCCTTCCTAACCATCCAGAGTCCATGTGGGGAAACCCAAAGATGCTGAAAGGCACACGGCCAGGGAAGAGCAAAGCACCCCCGGCACAGCAGAAAGGGAGAAGCATCAGCAGTGGGCCTCCTTTGCATCCAGCTAGCTGCCTAGAAGGTCAAATCCCAAGGACACCTGATGTCCTTAATTAAAGACTTTATAATACTGATGCCTGGTGGTTTAAAAAAGCCCCTGTATGGGGCACCTGGGTGGCTCAGTTGGTTAAGTGTCTGACTCTTAATTTCAGCTCAGGTCATGATCCCAGGATCATGGGATCAAGCCCCAAGTCAGGCACCCTGCTAAGTGTGGAGCCTGCTCATGATTCTTTCTCCCTCTGCCCTATTTCCCTACACACAGTCTCTAAAATAAAAAACAAAAATATAAAGTAATAAAAATACAAAGGGGGAAAATTATCAAAAATCCTACCCTCTACCACTAAGATTCTGCATATTTCCTTATCTCACTATATAAAAACGGGACCATCTATGTTACAAGCATGATGTGTTCAATTCAACTGCGCTGGAATTTAAAAGAAGCTGAAAGAATTGCTGAATTTCAGATAGATGTTCCTTTACTACCAGGAATATTAGTTCCTAAAAGATCCCTCTACCATCCAGAAAACCATGAGGTGGCAGTCATTATGGTATCCTCAAAAATGTGCCAATCGATACAGCCTCAATCAATCAGGAGGGACACAATTCTATTGGGAGGGAAATAATTCAGAAGTGATACACGATCCCAGCAATTAATGAAAAACTATCTCAGCAAAATCCAGAGATGCTTTGCACCAGGGCTGGTGCTGAGGAAATTGATTCTTTGGAAAAGAACACAGTTCTGTAATCAGGTTAGCAGCAAGGATTTCTGCTGAGATCTCAAGAAAATCAGGTATGGTTGAAGGAAATCCATGATCAGGCTTAAAGTATAAGAAGACTAGATGGGGGACCTGAGTGGCTCAGTTGGGTAAGTGCCTGACTCTTGATCCCAGCTCAAGTCATGATCTCATGGTTTGTAAGTTCAAACCCCACATCAGGCTCTGTGCTGACAGCGTGGAGTTTGCTTTGTGATTCTCTCTCTTACTCTCTCTCTCTGCCCCTCCCCCACTTACATGGACTCCCACTCTCTCTCTCAAAATAAATAAATAAACTTAAAAAAAAAAGAAAACTAGAAACTAAAGCTCAGTAGACTACAACTTATTTCTAACTTTTTTCCCCTTTTTTTGCCCTTGGCTTTCTTTCACAGCACTCAGAAATTATTCCTCAAGTACAAATCTTAACACCAACATGAAGGACTGCCCAGAAATCAGTGTAGTGAGGTTCTGATCCTGGACATGAGAGAACGAGGGGCGAGTCGTCGCTGAAATGAACACACGCCCAGCTGGCCCCGACCTCGCCCCCTCACCTCTCCGGTATAGTCCTTCAGGACACCCGCGTACACATCCGAGCCGTTGGGTCTGTTGATCACGATTCCTGGCGTGGGGTTGCTGAAGAAAACAAAGAAACCACAGGACACATTTGAGGCACGCGGTGTGACATGTCTCTGAAATCTCTCCTCAAAGCTATGCCCCCTTATGCACAAAAACAGTAAGTGAGCACGTTTGTCAAAGACATTTCCTATCACCCGCACAGCCACCAATGTGCGGCTGTGACTGTAGAGCCTGGGGATCCCGGGCAGCCCGCAGCTCTCGGGTTCCTGGCGGGAGCATGAAGGGCTGTCCTGAAAACCGAGGACAGGGGCATATCTGGGCTCCTGAGGGAACCGGGTGACATTCTCGGGGCAAGACCTGAGCGGGAGATCTCTCAGAGCAAAGCTCCTTACAAAAAAAGATGGGACAAAAGACAAGACTTTAACGTAAGAGTTTAGGAGTGGAAGCTCAGAGTGGACTACGTGCTGTCGTGTGATCCCGACGGTGGCCCCAGCAGGGAGAAAACAAGAAGTGGGGGAGACCAGCACCGGTGACAGTTAGTAGTTATAACTACTGCTCCTGATCCCAGACATCAGAGAAGCTGGCATGAGACAACGATTCGCACAGCTGAGTTCAACAAATAATGAAAGCAAATAATCACGGAGAGAAGGGTCGTAGGATCTAGCCTACAAGCAAAAGCCTCCTAGGAAATGGCGCTGAGGCAACCCCTCAGTGCTGCCCGCCCCTGCTCCGAGGTCGGGAATGAGCACTGCAGAGCCCAGTGGTGAGTTCAAGCTGAGAAGGAACTTAAGCTTTCTTTTCTTTTTTAAATTTTTTGTGATGTTTATTCATTTGAGAGAAAGTGCAAGCAGGGGAGGGGCAGAGACAGACGCAGAATCCGAAGTAGGCTCCACGCTCTGAGCTGTCAGCACAGAGCCTGATGTGGGGCTCGAACCCACGAACCGTGAGATCATGACCTGAGCCGAAGTCGGACCCTTAACCAACTGAGCCCCCCCCGCCCCCAGGCACCCCAAGAAGGAATGTAACACTTTAAACTCTTCCAAAGCACCAGCTCCAAACACTCTTCAGCAACTGCTACTGCCGGGGTCCCCTCCACCCCCACAGGTGTGTTCAAAGCTCTACATGAAGCAGCCTTGTGGGATTTCACTGCCAGTCGATGCACATTCTAATGTTTATAGGCTAACATTAATTCTAAAGATTCCTATGAGTCAGTATGCATTTTTTTTTTAAATATCCTGAAATCATCACCAAGTTCAAAGACACTCCCTACTTACTCTTCAGAGTTGGCAATGTCATCGTACATCATCACAATGATCTGTTCATCAGGAATCCCGTTTCGGTGAACAATCTGGTAGGCGTGGCATGCATCTGCCTGGGAGAAAGGATTTTGTCAAGTTTTAGATTCTGCCCAGAAAGAGGCCAATTTTGAAGTTCTAAGGAGGAACACATTCTTTCTCATGGAACACATGTTGCAAATCATTCTTTATTGGTCAGGTATTTAAATTATTTTAGGGAAGGCTGGGTAACTCAGTCAGTTAAGCATTTGACTCTTGGTTTTGGCTCAGGTTGTGATGTCACGGTTCATGAGTTCGAGCGCACAGAGCCTGCTTGGAATTCTCTCTCTCCTTCTCTCTCTGCCCCTTCCCTGCTTGTACACTCTGTCTTTCTCTTTCAAAAAATAAAATAAACCTAAAAAATAAAAAATAGTATTTTAAACCATATCCATTAATATTTTTTCAATTCAATTTTTTTAATGTTTTTATTTATTTTTGAGAGAGAGAGAGAAACACAGAGCGCGAGCAGGGAAGGGGCAGAGAGAGAGGGAGTCACAGAATCTGAAGCAGGCTCCTGGCTCCAAGCTGTCAGCACAGGGCCTGCTGTGGGGCTCAAACCCGCGAACCACGAGATCATGACCTAAGCCTAAGTCAGACACTTAACTGACAGGGCCACTCAGGTGTCCCTTAGTTAAATTTTTTAAACTCTCCACCTCAAACATTTAAAAAAAAATTTTTTTTTAAAGGGGGTTGGCACTTAGGTGGCTCAGTCCATTAAGCATCTGACTTTGGCTTAGGTCAAGATCTTGTGGTCTCTGAGTTCAAGCCCCGTGTAGGGCTCTGTGCTAACAGCTCAGAGCCTGGAGCCTGCTTTGGATTCTGTGACTCCCTCTCTCTCTCTACCCCTCCCCTGCTTGTGCTGTCTCTCTCTCCCATAAATAAACAAACATTAAAAAAATTTTTTAACTCCCCACCTCACACCCATTATCCAAACTCTCATTCATCTAGTAGTTGGCATCTATGTGGATTACATACAGACACGCGTCCATGCACAGCGCCACCACTATAGATAATAAGGGCCTTAAAAAGTCCTGAATAATTTATTTTTCCACACCATAAAAAGCACTGAGTTAGGTCTGAAAAACAGAACGATGAACCACAGATTAAAAACTTAGTTCTGTAGGGGCGCCTGGGTGGCTTAATCGGTTAAGCGACCGACTTTCGCTTAGGTCATGATCTCGCGGTGCGTGGGTTCAAGCCCCGCGTCGGGCTCTGTGCTGACTTCCAGCTCAGAGCCTGGAGCCTATTTCAGAGTCTGTATCTCCCTCTCTCTCTGACCCTCCCCTGCTCACGCTGTCTCTCTCTCTCTCTCCTAGAAATAAATAAAAATATTAAAAAAAAAAAAAAACTTAGTTCTGTATCAAACAGGATTCTTCCAATTCAAGTAATTTTGGCTGCCATAATTGCTGTTCGTTGAGTTGGACGTAAACTCAGAAGGTCAGCTCAGGTATTGAAAGGAGGAATGTACTCTTCAGTTAAAAAAAAAAAAAGCAAGAGTGACAACATTAGGGCTAAAAGAAAAACTCGGTTAATATGATTCCTTCCTTGTCCATAAGAGGGTAAAGACATTCGTTGCTTCCTTTTTCACATGACACGTGGTCCATTCCGGAACCTGGGAATCATGAGGTCGGTGAGGACAAAAGTCCTCTAACTTGCTGCTCCTGTGTGTCTTTCAAGAACAAATACATACACACGAATGGCATAGTGAGCCCAGCTATCTGCCTCTCTAAGGACGAGAGAGCTCTAAGAACTGGACCTTCAGGACACGGTACCTTCTACACAGCACTTAGCATGGCAAAAAAGCTCACTGAGCATTAAACCTAGCAATGTAGACACCTCACACCAAAAGGACTTCTCAGCTAGCGAGGGATGTTAAATACACAGTTGCTAAATGTTGGGTGGCTGAGTCCAGGGTCAGGCACTCGGGAGCTGTTGCATGAATGGGCAACTAAATCAATAAATAAGCAAAGCTTATACATTTGCTGACTTTCTAGTACTCGTCAGTCATGGTGCTGAGATTTTCATGTGATTCTCCTAGCAATGCTCCGTGACTAAGGTAATGATCCCTACTTTATAGGAGAGGAAACTGGAGCCTAGGGAGGTAAGGGGACCTGCTTGAGTCACCCAGCCCATCATGAGATCACCCAGGCACTCTGCCTCCAGAACTTGACCAGAACTTGACTGTGCTTCGTGCAGAGACAACGGAGAAATCAGGAAAATTAGAGCAGCCCAGGGCAGGGAGGAGCTGAAAATCTGAACGGGTCATTTGGAGATAGTTACTAAGTATTGTATACATATACAAATTGTTAAAATGTTTAAATCCCCATTTCTGTGGAACAATGAGGACCTCCAAATAAATACTAACCGTAGTAGGAAAGAAAACAGCCCGACAGATGTCCATCTCCTAATCCCTGGAATCTGTGACCAGCTGCAATCCCTGAGAAAGGGGAATTAAGACAGCGGATGATCTTAGATGGTTCATCAGCTGACCTTAACACAGAGAGGTTATCCTGGATTATCTGGTGGGCCCAATGTGGTCACAGGGGTCCTTGTATGTGGAAGGAGACAGTGAGTCAGTGTCCCAGAGATAGAACGTAAGAAAAGACTCAATTGTGCCACTGCTGACTTTGAACCTGGAGAAGGGGCTGTGAGCCAAAGAATCAGGACAGCCTGTAAACGCTGGAAAAGGTAAGAGCATGGCACCTCCTTCAGAGTCACCAGAGAGAAACACCCCTTTTGACACCTTGATTTAATGCAGTTAGACCCCCGTTCAAGTTTCTCACTTCCAGAATTGTAACATCATAAACATGCATTGTTTTAAGCCGCTAAGCTTGTAGTGATTTGTTATAGCAACAATAGAAAACGGATCCACAGATTGTGGAAGTTTAGTGTGACTGGCACTCCACTTGCAAAAGTATCTCGCCATTATGCAATCAAGTTGAAACATATCCCCTCCCACCCAGGGATTCTGCTCCTAGCCAAGATCCTAGAAAAACTCTTAAGCCATGTGCAGTAGAGGATTACTTATAGCAAAAAAAAAAAAAAAAGAAAAAAGAAAAGTAAAGAAAAATCAAGAGGAAAAAAAGAAATAACCCAAAGGACCATCAATGCTGGAAAAAATAAGCTGTCATATGCTCATATGATGGAATACCATAAAGCTCACATAAATGGATGAATGAATGAACTACAACCCCATGTTTCAAATAGATGAATCTTAGGAACATAATGAGAATAAGTCGTACAAGAATACATTCACCATGTTTACAGTTATATAAAGGCCAAAACAGGCTAAAGTAAACATGTTTATAGTTAAATACACATCTGGTAAAACCAGAAAGCAAAGGCAAGGAATGATTGACAAAAAATTCGGGAGCTGGCCATCGGGTGGGAAGGAAGGAGGATTGAATCAGACAGGGTCTTAGTGATGTTCCTTTTTTTTTTTTTTTTAAGTCTGATACAGGTATTCATTTTATTATTATTATTATTATTCTTTAAGTTGCACAGGCGTGTCATATGGATAGTTCTTTGCTTTCCTTTTCATTAAAAAAAAATATATATTATGTCAGATTTAACTAATGACAAAAGTGGAAGTGACCAGGTATACCCACCCACTCCCCTTAGTGACAATCATCCTATTATTTATTTATTTTGTCAGAAGCCAGATTCATTTTTTAAAAAATAAAATTTTTTTGAAATTTTAAATGTTCGTTTATTTATTTTTGACAGAGAGAGACAGAGCATGAGTGGGGGACAGGGCAGAGAGAGAGACACAGAATCCAAAGCAGGCTCCAGGCTCTGAGCTGTCAGCACAGAGCCCAACGCGGGGCTCGAACCCACGAACTGTGAGATCATGACCTGAGCCGAAGTCAGATGCTTAACTGACAGAGCCACCCAGGCGCCCCAACTTAATCCTATTTTTAAAAAATGTATTTTAAATGACCAGCAGGGTTTTTTGCAGAAGTGGACAAGATGATCCTAAAATTTATAGGAAATTGCAAAAACCCAAGAGCCAAAATAATTTTTAAAAAGTTGAAAGACTTTTACTTCCTTTTGTACATTGTATGTATTATGTACTATATTCCTACAATAAAGTACGCTACAGAAAAGAAAATGTTACTAAGAAAGTCATAAGGAAGGGAAATAACCTGTATAGTACTGTACTATATTTACTGGAAAGACCTACCTACAAATGGACCTGTGCAGTTCAATCCCAGGTTGTCCCAGGATCAAGTGTACAGAACAGTCTTTTCAACAAGTGTTGCTGGGACCACATGGAAATCCACATAAAATGAACTTGGGGGGTGCCTGGGTGGCTCAGTTAGTTAAGCGTCCAACTTTGGCTCAAGTCATGATCTCATGGTTCATGAGTTCGAGCCCCATGTCAGGCTCTGTGCTGACAGCTAGCTCAGAGCCTGGAGTCTGTGTCATATTCTGTGTCTCTCTCTCTCTCTCTCTCTCAAAATTATTAAATAAACATTAAAAAAAACAAAAAGCCAAGTCAAGTACTTGAGAAACGGTGTTAAAAGCCACTTGAACTACTTCCCTTGAACATATCTGGCCTACACATATTTTCCCCTGAAAACCAGAAAGGCCTACGAAGTAGCATGTGAGGAGGGTATTGAGCAAGACTCTAAAGAAGGCAAGCCCTCCGGACCACTGAACAGACACTGCTGTGACTCAGCCTGGTTCACAGCTTGCGCTAGGAGTCCTGACGGGCCTGGAAAGCATCCCGTGATTCCTGACGCAAGCCACTGGCCCACAGGGCCTGCCTGGGATGCCTCCAGCATGAGCCGGCTGTCAGCCAAGTGAGAACTACCACCTGGGAACAAAAGTTAAACTCAATGGGCACATTCCTGTCATGGTCAATGTAAAGGGGTCCACTTTTAAACCAGGTAAGGATCTGAGAAAGGGGCCTCCTGGTCTGCTCATTGACAGATGTACACATATTATCACTTCCTGGTATGTGCTTGTGTGCTGCCGAGGTGAGGCCCTGGGTCAGGGGCTTTGCAGAGTTGCCTCACTGAGCCCACCACCAACTCGAACTTTCCACAGGAGAATCAGAGGTTTAAAGTGAGATGGCGGGGGGGGGGTTGAAAAAAAAAGAGACAGAAAGCAGTGGCTGCATGGGGCGGGGATGGGAGCAGGGACTGACAGCAAACACGCATGAGGGAACCTTCTAGAATGATGAAAGTGTCCTGAAACTGGACTGTGGCCATGCTTGCAGAACTGTATAAATTTACTGAAACTCACAGAAAGTATGTAATTATAACAGATGAATTGTAGGACATATAAATGTATATGCCTCAATAGAGCTGTTTTAAGAAGTGGTGATTGCACATATTTTTTTTTAAAAAATCTATAAAATCAAGGCTCCTGGGTAGTTCAGTCAGTTAAGCATCCAACTCTTGATTTTGGCTCAGGTCATGATCTCCTGATTTGTGGGTTTGAGCCCCAAGTCGGGTTCTGTAAGAACAGTGTGGAGCTTGTTTTCTGACTGCCCCTCCCCTGCTTGCTGTCTCTCAAAAGTAATAAAAACATTTTTAAAACTCTACAAAATGAAAAGTGGTCTTTTTTTTTAATTTTAAAAAAATTTTTTCAGGTTTACTTTTGAGAGACAGTGTTAAGTGAGGGGAGGGGCTGAGAGAGGGGGAGACACAGAATCCGAAGCAGATTCCAGGCTCCAAGCTGCCGGCGCAGAGCCCAACACAGGGCTCGAACTCACAGACTGTGAGATCATGACTTGAGCTGAAGTCGGACGCTTAACCGACTGAGCCCCCCCAGGTGCCCCTAAAGATGGTCTTTTAGGACCGTGATGACTCTGTCACTTGGCCCTCCATCACGTGTCTTTCTCCCAATTCCAACAAGAGCAAGGTCTAGGTTTCTCCCTCTCTGCCTCAACTGAAACCGGCCTACCTGCCTCCCAGCTCCCGGGACAGATGCTCTTCAGGCTTCCAGGAGGAGGTGGTGGGCCCCTTTCTCTCCACCACAACCCAACTCCAGACCTGACCAGCAGAGTGGGGGGTAGGAGGCATCTGCAACGCAGGGCAAACAACCTTCTCCTTGAAGCCCCCACTGCCAGCAATGGCCTCAAACCCTCCCAACCCCCATCCTCCAGTGGCACCTGGTCACATGTGCTTCTCCTCAATCCCTGTCACCCCCAAAGTCCCTGGAGGGCAGTGAACTTCACCTGCAATCTATTTCAACAGCCGCCTCCGTGGCTCTACCTGAGAACTTCCTCTTCCACATGCTCAGACCTCTGTCCTGGGAGAAACCCTCCGCCAGCCCCAGTTCCTCCTCTAGTGGCTCATTCTGTTCTCCTTGACAGGCCTGTCCCCAGGGGCTGCTTGCACTTCCGGACCCCTCCCTCCCTCCTCTGCGCAGCCGCTGCACACACCTGCCCTGGTGAGGCCTTACCTGCACCCCCCACTCAGGGCACCGGATGCGCACCTTCCACCCGCTGGCCTCAGACCAACCCCAGCCATCCAGTGATCCCTGCCCAAAATGCACTGACTTAAATTGTGCCTGGGGTCCTCATCCTCCCTCCGCTCCAGGAATTTGTGGGAACAAGGGCTGTGTCAATCCAGGGAGCAGGTAAACCTCCCTAAAAACGTGAAGTGGGAAAGTCCGTGCAGGTTCTAGGAGGAACATTCCCTGTGCCGAGGTCAGCACACGCGGCTCCTCTGCACAGCCTCTGTCCTCGTACTCAGGGATGAGTGTTTCACTCTGGTCCTGCTTCCCTTCCTTCTGTTCGATGTTATTGTACCCACGGAAACAAGCACACTTCAACAACCAAAACCAAAAAACAGAAAGGGTTTTCTTGGAGCAAACGGTCATTGGATTCCTATACTTACTAATGTTTAACCGATAATATTCTTTCAAAGTGATGTGTACAAAAGCCAGCGAGGCAAGGAGGGCCTGGGTGGCTCTGTTGGTTTTCAGCGTCTGACTCTTGATTTTGATTCAGGTTATGATCTCATGGTTCAGGAGTTCAAGGCCCCATCAGGCTTGAGCCTGGAGCATGGAGTCTGCTTGGGATTCTGTCTCCCTCTCCCTCTGTCTCTCTCTCTCTCTCTCAAAATTCAGTAACATTTAAGGGGCGCCCGGGTGACTCAGTCGGTTAAGTGTCTGACTTCAGCTCAGGTCATGATCTCAAGGTTTGGGAGTTTGAGCCCCGCATCGGGCTCTGCAATGGTGGTACAGAGCCTGCTTGGGATTCTCTCCCTCTCTTTCTCTGTCTCTTCCCCCATTGTGCTCGCTCTCTCTCAAAATAAATAAACTTAAAAAACAAAAAACAAAAAACCAGCGTGGCTGATGAATCAGTCTGCACACTATTGGTGACCTGTATCTAATACCTTATCTTTCTCCCGCCTCAGGGAGGGAGGAGAAAACCGAGAGCGATAATACTCAGGCTGCCCTGTCGGTAACTAGGTCAGGTCTGTGGTTAATTATTAAAACGTTAAAGGGATCATTTTGCCATGACAACAACTTTGCAATCAAGCCAAATTTCTTATTCAGCAAACACGCAAAACCACTCACAAAAACAGGCCATTCAGGGGCGCCTGGGTGGCTCAGTCGGTTAAGCGTCCGACTTCAGCTCAGGTCATGATTTCACGGTTTGTGAGTTCGAGCTCCACAGTCAGGCTCTGTGCTGACAGCTTCAGATTCTGTGTCTCCCTTTCTCTCTGCCCCTCCCCCACTCACACTCTGTCTCTCTCTCAAAAATAAACAAACATGAAAAAAATTAAAACAAAAAAAAAAAAGGCTGTTCAATGACCATCACATTCTAGAGCTGGCAGGGGGTTCTTCTAAACCAACCCCCTACTTAACAGAAATGAAAACTGACAGCCCGGGAGGGAAATGCACGAGGGAACAGAGACTCCAGGCCTGCGCTGTCCAATACAGCAGCCACCAGCCTCCAGGGGCAACTGAACACTTCAGGTTCAGCCAGTCCAAACTGCATGCATCGTGCACGTAAATGCATCCCAGATTTTGATGATTTAGTTAAAAAAAAAAAAAAAGGTAAAGTAACTCTATTAACTTTTCATATTGATTCCAGTGAAATGATAGTTTGTATATATTGGGATAAATAATATATAACAATAAGCTACTTTGACCTGTTTCTTTTTTACTTTTCAAAAATGTGGTCGGGGCACCTGGGTGGCTCAGCCGGTCAAGCATCTGCCTTCAGCTCAAGTCGTGATCTCACAGTTTGTGTGTTCAAGCCCCAGAGCAGACTCCCTGCTGTCTGTGCAGAGTTCATTTCTGATCCTCTGTTCCCCTTTCTCTCTACCCCTCCAGCATGCACATGCTCTCCACTCTCTCTTGAAAATAAATAAACATTAAAAAAAGAATGTGGCTACTAGAAAATTTGCCGCAACACACGTGGCCCTCCTCCTGGAGAGTGCTGTTCAGAGCTAGTCAGCCCGGGGTGACCCAGGCTCAGCCACCTGCCATCTGCGGCACACTGGGTGAGGACTGGCGCCTTCTATGCTTCAGTCCCCTCGCTCACAAAGAGGAAACAAGAACCCAGCCTATTGCGCATTACCCCACGGTGACAGGGTTAAGTGAGTTCATTTGTGGAAAGGGCTCTCAGACGAGAACCCAGCACACACTGTGACAGTCTGCATCCTGTTTCTGAGAACTGAAAGATTAACTCATGGTTTAAATAACAACTTTAGAGTCTAAGTCATATACCAGAAAAGTCAGCTTTTTAAAATACACAGCCCACGGGGAGCCTGGGGGGCTCAGTCAATTGAGCATCTGACTTCGGCTCAGGTCATGATCTCCCGGTTCACCAGTTTGAGCCCCACGTTGGGCTCTGTGCTGACAGCTCAGAGCCTGGAGTCTGCTTCGGATTCTGTGTCTCCCTTTCCCTCTGCCCGTCCCCGCTCATGCCCTGTCTCTCTCTCTCTCTCTTTCTCAAAAATAAATGTTACAAAAACAAAATAAATAAATTATACAACCCAGTGGTATCCAGTATATTCACAAAGTTGTATAACCATCACCCTCTCTAATTCCAGGATATTTTTATCACCCCAGAGTCCCTCCCCACTCACCCCTCCACCCAGACCTTGGCAACCACTGGTCAACTTTCTGTCTCTACAGATTTCCCTACTCTGGCCTTTCATATCCGTGGGATCCTACATGATCCTCTGTGACTGGATTCTTTCACTCAGCATGTTTCTACGGTTCTTCCGCGTTGAAGCCTGTATCAGTACTTCACTCCTTTTTGTGGCCAAATAACACCCCTTGTATGGAGGCACCACATTTGTTAATCCACTCACCAGGTGATGGATATTTGGACCGTTTGCACTTTTTCACCAGCATGAGAAATACTGCTAGGAACACTCAGGTACAAGCATCTGTGTGCACCTATGTGATCGGTTCTCTGGATACATACCTAGGAGTGGAACTGCCGTGTCACGCAGTGACTCGATGTCTCACCTTTGGGGGAACCGCCAGACAGTTTTCCAAAACGGCTGCACCACTTTAGGAGGCTCCCATTTGTCCACATCCTTGCCAACACATGTACTTTTGTCAGCCTTCAGGCATGTGAATGACTTTTTAAGAAGTCTGTTCTATTGACAATGTCCGGGATGGTTTAAAGACTACCAGGGTCGTAAAGAAAAACATCAGTCACGGTCTTACCTGGTGCCTGTAATTATACCAGCCATTCGAACCGGCGACAATCACCACCCAGTGCTTGCCCCCATCCTCAGGATCATCTATGGGCAGAGCACTGATTCCCAGGACCACGCTGAGCAACACGGCTCCTTTCCAAATCATTCTGTGCCCCAGAGGTCAACGGCAGAAACCTGGGGAGGAAAAAAGTAGAGTCAAGCAAAAAAGGAATGACAAAAACAGAATATTTTTGGTCCCTGAGGAAATATCACAGCAAATGGGTCAAAAAGATAAGACCAGTTAGTCATCAGATAGAACAGGCTAAGGACAAAAATGCTAACAGAGCAGAATTCTTTCTTTAGCTCTGCAGCCTCTTTCCCTAGGGGCAGAAGGGTCGACCAAAATTTCCCTCACTACAGGTTGAAGTTACAGGTATAAACCAAAGAATACCAGGAAAATTCTTTGCGCAGCCTTAAAAGGTTTTAAAATGTGTTTGTCACAACTTGGAATACAGCGGATAAAACTCAGCATCAAAATTCACTGTCCTAGAAAAATGTCTACCACACTGTATGAAATATTTGCAAGGAAAGAATACACGTCTAGTGGGTACATAGAAAAATGTGCAAGGCAGACACAGAAATTTAACAGTAGTTAGCGATTGGCGGCCGGTAGACATCAGTCTGATTTTCTTCCTCCTATCTCTCTTTTTACTACAATTAATGGATATTACTTATGTAATAAAGTGTGGAAAAACTCAATGTATGTTCAATATAAACACTGAGGGGCAGTTTATAAGTTTATGAGCGAGTTATCTGGATAAGCTAGAGTCAAACACTGGCAGCTCAAATTGATGCCTTCGTATAACATTTACAACATGTATTCAGTATAACTCAGGCAAAGCAAATAATTTATTCCTTGTTATAGGAAGGGGAGGTTAAAGCAAGAGAAATGACTTGTCTAATACCCATGGATAGCCAGCTCTGGCCAGAGACCAGAACCCATGCCTTCTGAATTTCTGGTTCAGCCTTTCTACACGGCTCTACATTGAGACTTTATTCTTAATGAAGTACATGCCCAATTTTTAAAAATTTATTTATTTAAATTCAAGTTAGTTAACATACAGTGTAATATTGGTTTCAGGAGTAGAACCCAGTGATTCATCACCCGCATATAACACCCAGGGCTCATCCAAACAAGTGCTCTCCTCAATGCCCATCACCCACTTAGCCCATCCCTCCACCCACCCGCCTCACCTCCAGCAACCTTCAGTTTGTTCTCTGTATTTCTCAAAGAGGCACATGCACCCCAGTGTTCACAGCAGCACTGTCAACAACAGCCAAATTATGGAAAGAGCCCAAATGTCCATCAACTGATGAATGGATAAAGATGTGGTATATATATATATATATATATATACACACACACACACACACACACACACACTGAAACACTATTCTTGCCATTTGCCGCAACGTTACATGCCCAATTTTATACCACCCGGCCAACACTTTAAAGTTTTAATGCACAAGAGGCACCTGGGTGGCTCAGTCGGTTGAGTGACCGACTTCGGCTCAGGTCATGATCACACGACTCGTGGGTTCAAGCCTCGCTTGACAGCTCAGAGCCTAGAGTCTGCTTTGAATTCTGTGTCTCCCTCTCTCTCTCACCCTCCCCTGCTCAAGCTGTCTCTATCTCTCTCTCTCAAAAATAAATAAAACATTTAAAAAAAAATTTTTTAATTAAAAGTTTTTATGCACAGAGGCAGCATTCAGACAAGTCCTGGCCACTAGGCCTTACTCAGCTCAGACCCTGCCCTGCATCCTGAATGTTACTTTAAAACAACAGCTTTCCTGTGACAGATACTAGGCCTGTGACACTGAGAGAAGAGGAAAACCATTCAGTCTCTGAGACGTAGGGATTCGGCAGAACAAAGGTTGAAGGCTGTGCTCTGACTCTTGTTTCTCAGAGAGGGCTCACCCATGCATTCGCCAGTTCATTCACTCATTCCTTCACCCAGTTGACCAGAGTCTTCTGAACACCCACTCTGGCAGAAAAATACCCACTCTGTCCCCGAACGCAGCAGGGACAGGACAGAGCCTCTACCCTCGGTGAGCATGCAGCCAGCTAAGGGATGAACGACCCATAAGCTAAGAATCTTTAGCATTCTGTACCTACCCCTGTGCTAAAACTCAAAAATGGACTGAGTAGGGGATTCCCCCCGCAAAGTGAGGAAATAGGAAGCCCTGAGTCCGAAAAAAGTTTAAAAACCTAACAGTGCCTTAGTCCAGTGCTTCTCCAGCCGGACTGTGACCCACATCCTCTGGAGATCTTGTCAGGAAGCAGATGCTGACTCAGCAGGCCTGGGCTGGACCTGAGACTCTGCATTTCTAACAAGCCCACAGGGGATGTCCAGGACTATGCTTTGATGTCATGGCACTCTTCGTTAACCTTGGCGGGCTCTAGTTCACCTCTGGCCCAAAGCCTCACGACCTGACACTACTCTTTACCCACCACCCCCCTCCGCTACTCCCTCCAGGAAATCAATTCTTAACCTATAACCTGAGTAGGTACTAGACCCACATTTCTTTAGCACCCCTGCAAGGTCTTCCGTAGATGAACAGGAACTACAAGAAGGCGCCCCAGATTCGTTTTTCAGCCTGTTCAGGAAGGGCCATGCTTTTTGTTTGTTTGTGCTTGTTAATTTTACAGAAGGCATGAGCCGGGGAGAGGGATAGAGAGAGAAGGCGAGAGAGAGAGAGAGAATCTGTCTCCACACTCACTGTAGAGCCTGATACGGGGCTCAATCCCACAACCCTGGCTGGGATCATAACCTGAGCCAAAATCAAGAGTCGGACGTTAAACCGACTGAGCCACCCAGGCGCCCCAGTTTGTCTTGTTTTTTACTATGGTATATGACGGATGAGATCAGGGAACAGACAATGGCAGTGAACTTGCCCAAGCCACCCTGGTGCCAAACCCTGCTGGCCTAGTTATGTCTTAATGTGCCTCTGAGGACACTCTCCCGAGTCCTCTGGCGCTGACTGGGGCTCATCTCAGGGCTGGGAGGTACCGGCAGAGGTGACAGTGACCACAGAGGTGACCCCCCCCCCCCCCAGCAGCTCTTTGACGCCGAGCTTGCCAGGCAGCTTCACATGCTAAGCCTCCCTGGGAAGCCTTCCACTGGGGCAGCAGCTGGCACATTGCTTCTCTAAAGGGCTGGACAGAAATACTTTGCCTTGCCGATCACACCATCTCCCTCATATCCGTTTGGCCCGGCCACTATCCCACGAGCGCAGCCAGAGCCCACGCCAGTGGGCGTGACGATGTTCCAGTAAAACTAGGACTGGTGGCTTCTCTGACCCTCCACAGGGAGCGAGAATACGCTCCCAGCCCACGTGACGGGCACAGCCAGGCTGGTCCTTATCATCTTCCTTGGCGGTCAATAAACAGGCGCTCTGGCCTGCACACCCGTCTCTTCCAAGCTTGGTTCATGTGACTTAATCACAAGGAGGCTCATTCCTCTGGAGACCCTGCCCTGTGACTTTTCCCTTCATGTTTAGGGACAAAAAGAATATCTAAAGGGGCGCCTGGGTGGCTCAGGAGGTTAAGTGTCCGACCCCTGCTCTTGACTCAGGTCATGATCTCCCAGTCTGAGACGGAGCCCCCGTGTCGGGCGCTGCACTGATAACACAGAGCCTGCTTGGGATTCTCTCTCTCCCTCTCTCTTTCTCTTACTCTCCCTCTCTCTCTCAAAATGTACTTTTAAAAAATGTAAAATTTGACCTGACTGTGAACCCTAGAAGGGACACCACTGGCATAACTGCCTATATTGGCCAACAACACAGCAGGTACTGAAAAGGCACCGCCGGGTTATTTTTACAAATTCAAATTCATCTGTCATTCTTCTGCTAATATGCTAGCATGCTGCCCCTCAATGGGGAAAAATGATTTATTAATATACAAGTGACATTTTCATAGTTAACATTTGGCAACGGTTCCTGTCTATGATTTTTGTTTGTTTCTTATAAACACACAGTACGGTTCCTTGAACAGAATGGCAAGTCAAAGTCCTCACAGTAGGACACTGATGGAAAGTGTCACTTAAAAGAAACACATATGTGAATACCATTTGGGAAAACATATTGAGGTCTAGAACGAAGATGAGATGTAACGTAAGCTTTCCACCACCCTCAGCAAGAACGCATCTCAAGGCAGCCAGCCTCACCCGGCCGTTTGCTGATCAGCAATATTCTTGACAAAGTCTAAGTATCAGACCAAAGTCACAAATAACCTTGCAACGTGCCTATGATTCTTGTTCTCTTGAAGAGAAACGTCATGAAGACAAAGTAAATGAACCCTGCTGAACTAGCTCTTCAGGATAGCTGTATTTTTTTAGTTTATTTATTTATTTTGAGAGAGAGAGAAAAAGTGAGTTGGGGAGGGGCAGAGAGACAGAGAATCCCAAGCAGGCTCCACGCTGCCAGCACAGAGCCCAGTGCAGGGCTTGAACTCATGAACCGTGAAATCATGACCTAAGCCGATACTAAGAGCCAGACACTTAACCAACTGAGCTGCCCAAGTGTCCCCAAGATGGCTATTTTTGCCATCTACCCACCCACCCAACCATCCTACAAACACAGCACAGAACAGGAAACGTTCTAGTGGGAAGACACATGACTGAAATCTACACGTTGTCAGAGGGGATGAACATTCCGGGCAAATATAAGGCAGGAGGCAGAGGCCAGTAGAAGTGGGAGGCATTATTTTTCAGAAGGCAAAGACTTTGAGGAAGTGAGGAAGCCCACCCATTCTAATAGCAAAATGGTAGAACATACATCGTCATCTACAGAGGGCTGTCTAGTTCAATCAGCCATGGACCATGCTTATGACGAACTGTTTTAAAACAGTGGAAAAAATCTCCAAGGGGGCTGCATAAGGGGGATGTGTTTAGTCTGCTAACCATTTGTGGAGACAGAATGACAGACGGGTGTTACCCCAACCAGAGGAGAGGTCTCCCTACAGAGACACGTGTTCACAGGCTGCACAGGGCGGCAGAGTGGGGTGCTTGCGGGTTTCTGCGATGAGCCACGCTGCGTACACTTCACACAATCCTCACAAAAGCCTGTGAGCTGGTCTCATCGTTCTATTCTGAGAGCTGAGAAAAGTGAGGCTGGACAGGGACAGAAATGCGCTG